AGTTGTCTTTGTCTTGTATTGAACATGTGCTGACAGAAAGAAGGAATTTTCCTCTTGGTTTGCTCCAGCACAGGTTGTCGAAGTACTTCCTGCACCAAATAATGGTGTGCAGAGACCAACAGAATTTGCATATATGATCCAGCTGTGATTATTTGGCACTTTATATGAAGTGTTTTTCTTCTCCTTGCTCTGACATTTCGTACATGAAACCCTCAGATCCATAAGGGGGCCATGGGCAGATGGTGTCCAGGCTGGACCCCAAGGTCCTTAGGAAATCAAGCTGTGGATTTATTATAATTAATATTTTTCTTTGAAGTTCCTGTACTTAGGAACTGGTTTTATTGGCACTGGTAGCTTCCTCGGGCACATCAGCACATTGATGCATCACCCTGTTTTCCAAAAGTCTGGGATCACTTCCCATCATCTCAGTTCCTCTTCCCTGGGTGACACCTGTCTTCTCAAATAATCCCATTTAGCAGATGGGAGATGAGTCTGATCCTTAATATGTGAAAACACACAGGAAAGTAGCCAAAATGACCTGGAATTTTTTTGGTGACCAATGCAGGCTTTCCAACACAGGGAAAGATCACTCAGCAGAAGCTGAGAATCTTAAATATAACAAAGTTTTCCTGAAAAGTCCCCTTTAATAAATAATGTTTTTTGCTGTTCCTTTAAGTATATTTTCCATATGGTTTTTGTTTTGTTTTGCTGTTGTTTTGGAAATTTACCCCTTTTAATACTGGGAATTAACCAAAAAACCTTTTCCAGTGTATGTACAATTAACCCACCACTCTGCTGCACCCCCTGTGCTCATTCCCAGGGCACCCACAGAGTTGGGGTGTCAATTGGAGCCTTAAAATTAATGTATAATTTTGATAATGTTTTTAATTCATTTGGATTTTTGGTTTTCTTTTTTTCCTGTATCTCAAAAGAAGGAGTGGAAATATAACATTTCTTAGCATGTAGAGTTAGGACAGGTCTCCCTGTCCTTCCCTCTCTGTTTCACTGTCCCATTCACAGGAAAATAAAGCAGAAAAGCAAAGCCAAGGCTGGTAGTGAATCCTAGGAAGGAGCCTGCTGCCCTCTGATGGCTCCCGAGGCAAACAGCCTCAGGAAAATGGGAATAAACACCTGAGAGGATCCCGCTTATTTTCCTAGAAAAATTCTCCTTTAGGCAGAGAAGCAGAACCCAGACGTTCACCTGAGCAGGAAGGGATAACTCAATGTCCTGAATTATTGCAGCAAATGCTGTTTTGTGGGGTTTTATTTCCTATATTTCTCATTCTTCCAAGAGGTTTTGATGTGGTTTGGCACCTGCTTCTCCAGTAGAAGCCCATTAATGTCTGGAATTCATGGCCCTGAGAGAACTGGGTGATTCAGGATTGTCTGTGTGTCCAAGGCAGGGTTGGATGGGATTTGGAGCAACCTGGTCTGTGATGATGAGATTAAAAGGTCACTTATCAGGTAAGTGGCTTCCATGGCTTTGGAAGCACCTTTCCCAAGTTAAATTACAAAACAGAAGAGCTCTGGAATTATCCATCTCCCGAGGAGAGAGCAGGTGGACCATCCAGGACAGGGCTGGCCCTGCCAGGCAAATATGTGGGATGAACAACAGGAAGCAAAGTCCAGGTATCTGTTGGCTGAATTGAAAGCTCAGGAGAAGGGATTGTGCATCCTCCCATCAGAGGAAATAAAAAAGAGGAAAACACGAAAAAGAAAGGATGCAACCTAATCCAACCTTGCGTTGGGTTTTAGGATATCAAAAAAGAATTGGGCTGGCTCTTGCCAACCAGGCAGCCTTTGGAATGAATGGAGCTGTGTTCAGTGCACTTATCCTCCTAATGAGGACAAATTCTGGCAGTTTCCCCTCAGGTGAAAAGGGAAAAGCTTGCACTGTCAGCCTGATGCACTCCTGAAAGAAAAATCAAGCTCTCATCTTATCTAAACCCGGGGTAATTTTACACATTCATCACTTGCCAGTAGCTGAGTGTTGCTTTTCAGCAGGAGCTGTGTCTGAGCAGGTCAAGGGAAGGATCCTGGCTGAAAGATGAATCCCTGCTCCAACATCAGATTCCAGCTCCCAGCTCAATGGGGCCAAGGCAGGGTGTGACCAACGTGCTCCTTGCCTTGTGCCCCAGGTCTGAAGGTGGCTCAGAAATGCCAAAAACTGAGCTTGAGTGGAGAGGAACAAGAGGTGGATTATCCAGCAAGGCAAACAGTGGCTCCCATCTGCTCCCCTTTCTTCCTTCTTTTTCTCCCTGAAGGAAAAATTCAAGGCAGTCCCTTCCTCCCAATCTGTGCTGACATATCCACAGTGGTTATTCTGATTAAATAAGTGACTTATTTTTCTCTGGCTAAATAAATCCCTTGAATGCATCTACGATCATTATTGAACTTCAGGTTTTAAAATAATCAAATATAACATGAACTTGATAATACATTCTCACCTTGCTGTCTATAGGGGGATAGGACAAGGAGGGATGGTTTAAACTAAACAGGAGAGATTTAAGTTAATCAGGAAGAAATTCTACCCTGTGAGGGTGGAGAGGCCCTGGCACAGGTCACCCAGAGAAGCTGTGGCTACCCCTTGATCCCTGGAAGTGTCCAAGGCCAGGCTGGACAGGGTTGGAGCAACCTGAGATAGGGGAAGGTGTCCCTGACCATGGCAGGGGGTGGAACAAGATGAGCTTTAAGATCCCTTCCAGCCCAAACCATTCTGTGACTCTTTTTATGCAAGATCTCCTTTAGCTTTTTGATTCACTCTAAAGTTTCACACTGGTTAAAAGTTACACCAAATGCAGAAACAGTAGAAATCCAGAATAAAGGCAGCTTTTCCCTTGAAACCACAGAAGATCCTCAATACCTAGTAAATTATCAGTCACCTTAATGTTTAGCAGCAGCTGAAAACATTTAATAAGACACATTGCAAACCTCACAGCAGGCAAATGCAATAATTTCTGATGTAGGCACAGCCACTTGACAGCACAGCAGAGGCTGCTTAACTTCACAATTACAGAAAAAAAGAGACAGTGCAGCTTTGCTGTTACCCACAGGCAAAGAGACTCAGTCAATAAAACCAATCCCTGTCCCCCAGGAGCAATTCTGCTAAAGAGTCATCCAGCTCCTGCTATTTAAAAATCTCAGCTGGTAGGAGAACTGCCAGAATTAACAATCAATGTTCTAAATCAAGTGCAGGATCGCCAACACAGTAATGATTTTTACCACAGAGAATTAAAAATAAATATTCCCCTTGCAGCCCTGAGGCAGGTTTGGGTGGTGGGTGAAAGGGAGGAGAGCCTGAAACCAGGATGACCAGGAAAATATTTCATCAAATCCCAGAATAGTTTGGGTTGGAAGGGACCTTAAAGCCCATCTCATTCCACCCCCTGCTATGGGCAGGGACAACTTCCACTATCCCAGGTTGCTCCAAGCCCTGTCCAACCTGGATGGAGATGCAAAATCCAGAGGCACCAGGAAGCCAAAGGTGAGATGGACATGTAACTCTTCCAGTAAGTCAACCCACTACTCCTTAACTGTCTGCAGGGAATTTCTTATATTTCAGTTCATATTTAATACTTATAAAACTTTCAGGGTCTTTCTGCGTAGATTTGGTTGGGAGGGACCTTAAAACTCATCTTGTTCCACCCCTCTGCCCTGGGCAGGGACACCTTCCTCTATCCCAGGTTGCTCCAAGCCCCGTCCAACCTGGCTTTGGACACTTCCAGGGATGGAGCAGTCACAGCTTCTCTGGGTTACCTGTAAATTATAACACCCCCCAATGTACACAGCGCTTTGCAGGGCTGTTGGGGCATTTTAGGGAAATGCAGGGTGAAAAGCTGGTTACGGGTCTGTGTGTTCCCTTCTCCTCACGTGCCTCGTGCTCCCCCAGCCGAGGTTGGGTGAGTTCAGCCGTGCAGGGATGTGCAGCCCCTCCCGGGGGCACTACGGGGAACTCTCGCCTTCCTTGGCCTCATCTCCCCCCTGCTCCATCTCCATCAGCAGCATCTGCCACGCTGACACCCTGGCAGGAGGCAGAAAGGGCGGTGGCACAGGGCTGAGAGGATCATTTTGAGCTTGAGAAGGGAAATCCCGTCCTTAGTTTGAAGTAAAACATTCAGACAGAGAATCTCAAGGCAGCCTTGTTAGCCGCTTACAATTTCAACTCATATTTAAATTAGATTTTTTTAGCGTTGTGATGACTTTGATCTGTAGTTCACATCAAAGCAGGGGAGTTCCTGTTATCCAGCGACTTTCCAGAGCCACATGTCCCCCCCATCTCACAGCTGCAAATATCTGCACACAAACAGGAGACCTCCAGGCTGATTTTTAACAGAGCCTTGTGCTTCAAACAGGCACACAAAAGCAGGATTTATTTTGTTTTTCGGCTCTTTCATAGGTATTAGTGCTTCAGTGCAACAGAATTTCCCAGGCAGTGGTAAACCACTGCTTTCCAAAGCAGGAATTCTTGCTCCTCCAGTGTTACAACTTTATTTCTCTGTGAGGGCTGCTCTGAGTGTGAGTGTGCTGTGAGATGGATGCTGGCTGGGCCCAACAGTGACAGCTGAACGCCGAAACTGTGTGAAAATTTTTGCAGCCAAAGCAAAACTGGCAAATGTTTGGCTTTTTGCCACTGCAGCACCCAACTGTTTCACTGCAATGTTTAAAGCTCTCACAGGCGGGGCTCTGTCAACACTGCAGAGCAGGTAACACCCCTGACTTTGCTGACCTTAAGTCTTAGAAACCCTCTTTTATTTCTAACTTTTTTCCCCCATTCTGCCCTCATCATTCTTTTAGGCAAATGCATAAGAGGGATGAAAAATCCCCCTGCTTTGATTCCTTTGATAGAGCACAGCTGCACCAAGTGTTTTGTGCTTTCATCTTGAAACTTTATTTTTTGAGATAAATAGTGAGAAGTCACCTCTTCTATCTTCTCATCTCCTCTTCAAAATGCTTTTTTATCTCCACGAGCGCCTCTGGTATCACAGGACACACATGGCAGTGAAAATCATAATATGAAGAAAAATGAGTCTTTTTTTTTCCTTTTTAAAGGAAGAAAAACCAGCTCTCCTGGTTGAAGAGGAGCAGAAGGTGCTGGCCAGTTTTGCACAGTGCACTTCTCCTGGGACACGTGCTCCAAGCGTGGTTTTGCACTGTGACATCTGTCCCAAGGTCACATTCATCTGCTCACTGTTCCCTGAGGGAACAGGAAGGGAGATCCCTCACTTCTGTGCAGTTCTATAGCTGTGTCTTTATGTGGATATTAAATACTAATTAAACCAGGCATGGGGATGCTCCTGGCTGTAAGTCATCACTAATAAACCCCCTTGTTGGGATGTTGTGTCAGGGCAAGGTGATGCCCTGGGTGAGGGGACAGGCATACCTGCCCAAGGTGTGGCTCTGCCCTTTGCTCTTGGCAGGAATCAAAGATCTATAAACAGCCAGAAACAGGATTTTCCTAATGTTTCTACAAATTAATAACTTGTTGATATTAGACTCCTGTGCTGTCACAGAATTATAGAATCGTTTAGGTTGGAAAAGCCCTCTAACCATTCCCCCAGCCCTGCCAAGGCCACCACTAACCCATGTTCCCAAGTGCCACATCCACATGGCTTTTAAATCCATCCAGGGATGGAGAATCCACCACTGTCTTCTGTGGACATTGTCCACAAGTGCTCACACTCCTGCCCATGAACAGGAGCCTCCCCAAGTCCCTGTGGTCACCTGGGCAGCTCCACTGGGACCTGCAGGAGAAGATCCTTAAGAAGACAAAGGACAAAATGAAGCACCAACACCTTAGTGACCATTTCTCATCATCCCAAGAGATATTTCTGCCCCTTGAGATCTCAAAGGGTGAAGCACAAGGCAGCTAAAACCAAAGTGGACCATTGTGTCTTCAAACCAATTTGTTAATTGAACTGCACACACAGTTCAGTTTGAATGGAAATCAGTTGTCCACATTAAATAGTCATTTTCCTTTGCACCCTCTGTTCTGTGGTGTCCTTAAAACAGAATGACATCTTTTGGTGCATTTTCAATGGGTCTTTCCTGCTCTTTCTTCTTAGAATACCTTGCATGGTCATAGAAATATATGATGATGAGAGAAGCAATGTTCAGGAAAAGGACGAGCAGCATGATCCAGTAGGAATATCCATAACTGTGCTGAGATCTGATGTGGCTCTGCAGAGAGGTGGAACATCCACGGGCCAGTTCTTCAGACAGGCCGTGTGTTTCTACGTTCACAGGGAAAAGTATCATGGCCATCAGCACGAGGATTCCTAGAAAATAGAAATACAAATATTAGAGGTGAAACCATAGTGATACTTAAATAGCTGCTTGTAAAGAGTCTACTTAAATTGGTTAAATACCTGCACTAGGACAAAATATTTTTCCATTAGTAAATTATAAGGGCATTTATAGAATTTTTGTCCCACCTAATAATATCTGCCAGGTGTGTTGAAACAGGCAACGATACCATCTTTTAAAATTACTGGATTCTCATTGACTATTCTTAGACAAGGCCATTTAATTTAACTTTTTTTCACTGAATTTAATGCTGATGAGTATAATGTATTCATAGATTGTCTACTTGATATGACCCCAAATCCATGGGGTGGGCAGTATCACAGCTGGATAAACCCTGGTCTGGGTTCAGGGTTGGCCCAGCTTTGCTCAAGAGCTTAAGTTTAGAGACGTCATGTTTTCTCCAAGTCAAATTATTTGATGACTCTGTTAGGAGCCAAAATTCAAGGTCTTCTTATATGTGTATCTATTTCTTACAGCCTTCCAAGTGTTAAATCAGTTCAGTTACTTTGACATTTAGCTAAATAATATTTTTACATCCCTGCTTTCATTGTGCTCTGAACATTGGTGGAAATAGTTCCATTCCTTTCCTCCAGGTACATCATCCTACACAAGTTCAGGCTGAAACAGGTTCATTTTTTTTTCAGGAGGACTTTCAGGCCATCTGGTAAGAGAATTAGGAACCCACAAGATAACCTCCCACATCAAATGATGTGTGATTGTTCATAAAAATACACCCACAGCAAAATAGGCTTCCAGGTCACAGCACTCACAGGGCTGTACAAAGGAACCACAACCCTCAGCCAGCATGGGGGTTTATTTTCTCACCAATATTTATTTTTGTAAGTCCATGGTCCTTTCATTTCAGGTCAGAGCTTGCAGGTTCAGGGTGCTCAGGAAAGGAACAACCTCCTCATGTGACAAGACAATAATCTTCTTGTCTCAACAGTGAGTAATTGTCTGATTTAGGCATTTGTTCCCTTTTCTTACTGCATTTCACAGCTGTTTCTGCATCTATCTTTATGTGATGTGTTAAAAAAGAGGGGAGTTTCATACCCCCACCCATACTCACTGTGATTAAAACTAAATTTATCCATACAATTCCCTTTCCACCAAGGTCTGATTTTGATGATGGTGCTGCTGGGGACACACCTCCCTCCCATCTGCAGACCTGAAGAGCTTTTGAAGGGTAAAATGCTCTTGTTGAAGTACCCTGTAATCAGATGTCTTAAAAGGAAATTATTCAAGTGCAAACCTATTATTGGAGGAACACATAATCCTCTTGAGACAAATTGAGTGTGAGAGCTGGAATCATTGCCAGTGCAAGACCAGGAGGGCAGGAGGGTGTGCTGGGAGCAGCCAACCAGGTGAAGATGGGGTTGTACTTTCAGGGAGCCCTTTGTCAGGGTTCAGGCTCTAATGACTCAGTGTCTCTACCTTTTTTTTTTTTATGCCTAGGGAATGTTAAAACTTACTTTGATCTGTGAAAGTGTTTTTTAGAGAGGGAAATAAAGTTTACCGTGGCTCAGTCCTTCTAACTGCTGCTCCCCATATATACTATTATATAAATATAATTTTACTACTATATGATACGATTTTACTGGTACTTAAAAGGTAGTTTTCAGGTGTCCCAGAAGACACAGGTAAAAACTAAACCTACTGAACAAAATGCTTTTCCAGGTGTTTCCTTTTCCAGATATGTATTTCTTAATCTTGGAATCAAGGTGTTCATCCAAAGGTGGGCAGGAAGTGGGATGGGATGGGATGGGATGGGATGTGTTACTCACCACATATGGAGTTCCAGGTGTAGACTCCAATGGGTCCCAGAAATGTCTGGTAGGGATTGCTGACAGCATTGGTGCAGGTGAATCCAGAGCTCAGAAGGGAAGTCAGTAAACTGAGAACCAGAATCACAATAATGGCAACGTTGGTGCTTCTTGTATTGGTGCTGCTCAGGGAATCTGCAACTGAAACACAGGGGCTCAGCATGGAGAAGGGACAGGAGGAGAGGACACAGCCTCAACTTGTGCCAGGGGATGTTTACATTGGATATTAGGGAAAATTTATTCACTGGAAAGGGTGGTCAGGCACTGGAAAAGGCTGCCAGGACAGTGGTGGAGTCCCCATCCCTGGAAGTGTTCAAAAGACACGTGGATGTGGCACCTGGAGACATGGGTTATTAGTGCTGGGTTAAAGGTTGGGATTAATGTTCTTAGAGGTGTTCTTCAATCTTAATGATTTTATGATAATCAGCCTTCCCCTCATGGTCTGGTGGACTCTGACAAGTCTATGACTTACTGATGTGGCTGTAATTAAAAGCTGATAAACAGAGACTTGATTGATCTGTAGAGATCAGGATGTAAAGGACCACAGCAAGGCACAGCACATGAACCCAAAGCCCACATGGGGTGAAGGTACACAGGGCAGAAAAAAGTGCATGTCTGCTACACCTGCAGGCACAAAAACCTCCCGGGCATTGGCTGGATAGGAAACTTCTCTTCCTTAATACTTCTGTAAAAATTTCCTCTTGACGTGGCCAGACAGAAATTTTATGCTTAACTGGACCAGAAAACCAGGTGTTCCCTCTGCCCACGTCTGGTAAATTCCATAATTATTTAAAACTGTTCCAACTGCAGGTTATTCTCTCTTAGTATGGCATCAGTTTCCCTCCCATGGAATAAATTTGACAAGAGGAACAGCTTCTAAGGGAATAAAACTCTCTCAGGAAGGGCCAGGTGGATTTGCAGGAATAATATAGCTAAGCATGGTCATGCATGGACAGGTGAGGAGGGTTGAGCTCACACCCTGAGTGGATCTGTCTCTGTGTCCTGCAAAAAAAAAAAAAATGGTGGAGGCAGGCCTTGCTCCCTTCTTTTAAAAGAAAGGAGCAACTCCTACTTTGGAGATGTTTTTTGATGCCCTGAGACTCCTGACCCTGCAGCTCATCATCAGATCTGCTGCATCATCCATCCTTTACTGCAGCTTCATTGTGGTGATGTTCCTTTTCCCATTTCCCATTGCTCTTCCACCCCTAAATCCACTGAATTTTAAAATTAATTTCTTGTGTGTGTAGTTTTTGGGACAAGCTGGGGCATCGTGTTCAGGGGTGAAAATCCCTCCCTGCTGCTCCCACCCTGAGCTGAGCAGTTCCTCAACTACTCAGGGTGAGTAACTCTTAAAATACAATTCCTTAGATTTTGCTTGGCTTGGGCTTTTAAATTAAGAGCCCTGCCCACAGGCACTGTTTCTGTAAAGGAGGGAAGATGGGAAAAATAAAAATACAAATCTGGGGTATATTTTTTTATTAATTCAATGTGATGAAGATTTCAGTACAAGCTCGAACACCCCGTGTGCATTTTATCTCTAAGCCTACATTGGCTTAAAATAATAACTACAGCAGCCAGGCTTGTTTAAAATTAAGAATAGGGAGCACATTTGCTGGCCACTGATCCTGCAGCTTGTGTGGAGCTTGTGCCTGATGTCCAGGGAATGACTGGACGTGGCCCTCAGTGCCCTGGGCTGGGTGACAAGGTGGGGATCGGGCACAGGGTGGACTCGATGGGCTGGGAGGGCTTTTCCAGCCTCAGGGATTCTGTGGCTGGGTATATGGAGTGTTGTGGCTCCCACAGGGCTGGGCTTTGTGGTCACATGGTGGCCCTGGGGCTTCTTTTCTCAAGGTCTCCAACCACATCCCAAGGAATCAGATCCTGGCCCCTCTCCTTTTGGCTCCAGATCATTACAGTTCATACACACAGGCCATTGCCCTCTGTAGCTTCTGGAGCTCCAGGAGTGTCTGGCCATATGTTCATGGCACATGTTCAACCCCTCCAGGACTCCCATCAATTTTATTGATTTTTTGCCTCAATCCTTCCAGTCATTCCATCAGTTGCTGATAATAAGAGACACAATATCCTCGAAGTGTAATTGCAGTATAGCCGTGTTGAGATATATTATTTTCCTCTTTTCAATTTAAAGATTGAAAAAGCAACTGCAATTTGCCTGTGGCTGCCTGATTTTGTAACAAATACAATGACAATGTTTTCCAGCTCTATTCAAATGGGTGTTGTGATAGACAGATGTGTAGGAAAATTCCCCTTCTATTCTGCTTTTAACACAAAGCCATTACTGCAAAGTGTTCAGGTAGTGCCTAAATGGGAAAAATCATAGCAGGAAAAAAAGTACTAAAAAACCCATAAAGAGAAATAAACATCATAAAAAGAAGAGCTATTGGGAAGAAATGAAAAGGAGAACTTCTCTTTCATTTTATGTAATAGTGCAGGTAGAAGTTAATGTCTGTTTGAGGCAAGGATGTGTTATGGAAATCAGTTGTAAATGTAAGCAATTTTCCTAGAAGAACAGGAAAGAAGGGCTTCCAGGGGCTATCACTCAATTAAATGGAAGAGAGCTGCTGGGTGTACCTGCACTCAGGCTGAAGCAGCCTGGGCATCACCTCTGATGTATTTCTTGCACAAGATGTAAGTCTGGAGCCAAACCAGCCAGGCTTGTGTAATTTCCCTCTGGCAGCCTCACTTAATTTTATCACTCAGAACATCTCCAGGATTGACTGCCTACACCTATTGCAGCCCCTAATTGATCTTGTTTATCTCTAACAGTGATCAGCAGTTTAGGGGATGCCATTTTATGCTGTTGTAACAGCACAAGGCTAAAGGTTTAAAGAAAATGTTGTTTTCGTGGCAGCAGATTTTTTTTGCCCTAAATAAAGCAGTCTGTGCACACTGAAGGAGCTGATCTGTTTGAGTGGGGTCAATAGTAACCTGCATCTGTATAAAATAACCTCATTCTACAATGGAAACAGAGGGGTTTGCCCTGCCCAGGTCTCTCCTTATTTTTGTGTATCTTTTTTTTTTCCCCATCCTTAATTCTTATATATTTGGATAGAATTTCCCAAACTTCTACTGACCTGAGTCAGCCTTCCAAGCAGTGCTGATCTGGCAGCTTTTGTGAGCTCTCTGATCACTTATGACACATAACGAATTTTTCATTAAAAAAAAAAAAGAACCAAACAACCAAAAAGCCCCAAGCAGAGTTTAGCTGAGCTTCCCAGTTTTCAGGAGATCCCATAGCACACCTGGAAACTGATTTTCAGGCATTTGTCATGTCATTTAAAAGTGAGAAAGTGAATTGATTCTTCTCTGCTCATAGAAAATTTCAAAGGCTTCCTCATGTGTTGTTGGCCTTGCTGGCTGCAAGCAGCTGGACAAATCCTGATGTTCCAGGGCTCTTCTGGGTGTGCCTTTTCCTGGGCCTTGCTCAACTTCTACATGGACACAAGCAGAGCTGTAAACAAGCTCTTACAGGCTGTTACATTCGTAGGTGGTTCCTTGCTAAGGGAAATCATTAAAACAGCTCAAGAAGACTGTAAGGACTTTGGTTATTAAATAACTTTTACATTCTGCCAGACCATTCATCCCCAGAGCCTGGGAAGTGGCTGTTTTGATTTATTGCTCTATTAAGGTTGTTCCTGGCAGTCTGTTAAAGAGACACCCTGACTTGGGCAGGTCATGCACAGCCACGGTGCAGAAACCATGTTTGTCTTTCATCTTTATGCTCAGAAATTTCTTTTAATGCTGTGCTTTTTACAGGAATAAGTTAAATTTTTTGTAAAGGCTGTTGTTGACCTTTTGAATGGCCATTAATAAAAACCAACCTGGGCTATTGCTAGGAAATATTTCATATCCCCAGGCTATCACCTTCGATTTGCTCTTCTATAATTTCCATCCTCCTTTTCTCACACCCAGATATGACAATGCCATTTGAGAAACACACAGGGGGTGCACAGCAGGGCCCCCCAGCAAGGACACAGTTGCTGAGTGATGGATCACACTGTGAGTTAAAAGGATGTTTTTAACTCCTCTTAGAGGTGTCTGAAACACTGGAGTGGAGAAAGCACATCACTTTATTTCTTCATAAAACAGGAAATCAATTTACTTAAGAATCAGCAAAGAAAAGACATTTACTGTCTTAGGAGGACCTGTCTATATGAAGTTAAAATATTATATATGCAATTCTGTGAAATACCTTTCCTATTTCAAGTATGTATGGAATAGGATCATAGAATAGAATGGTTTGGATTGAAAGGGACACTAAAGACCATCTCATTGCACCCCCTGCCATGGGCAGGGACACCTTCCACTAGCCCAGATTGCTCCAAGCCCCGTCCAACCTGGCCTTGGACACTTCCAGGGATGGGGCAGCCACAGCTTCTCTGGGCAACCTGGGCCAGGACTAAGAATTTCTTCCATAAATGACAATATAAAACATGACAATAATGCCTAGTATAGAGCCTAAGAACTAATTTAAAATCAGTTAATCTCCCCTTGGATATGTGCCCAACTGAACTAAGGAGGGATGTGGGCAAAACCATCTTTGGACTGTTCTTAAAGCATCACTTTCCTTCAGCGGCTGTGGGAAAACAACTCCTGAAACTCGCTTGTTTTGTTCATCCCTAAATAACTGATATGTGAGAATTGAGATCACTTCCTCTAAATGTTTATCTGATAAATGATAATCACAAAGCCCTGAATCTGGTGGGGGAAAACCCAACACCACTGAGATGCACGTAAATGGTGCAAGAACCAAAACCCTTCACTGATACAAGTGTTGGGTGAGTCCTTTTCATCGATTTTGATCAAAATTGACCTGTTGGTAACACCCAGGCCCTGGGACTGGGCTGTGTGAGCCACTGTACAGACAAAGAGAAGACACATGCCCTGAATTCCAGCCAACCTGTGTCCTCACCCTGCAATCAGCTCCTGCTGGGAGGACTCCAGGTTTCACAGGGAGCCCAGTTAAAATCAGCAGGAGCCTGCCCATATGTCACAAGGTTTGGGGCTTGAGCCAACTGTCACAGGGTGCTAGAACCATATAGAAACCATTTTTATTAATGCATATTTACTCTTCTAAAAATACTGTGATTATTCTGATATGACTGTAAGTAAATCAGGTTTAAATGCCTCGTGGGTTTGTGTGGGTTTGTGTTTGTTATGTGACAATCTTAATCCATGCTCCATGTTTGGCTGGGAGTGCTGCTGTGTCCAGGTTTTCATGGCAATCTAAATGTTCTCATGACAACATGAATGTTCTCAAGAGAACTGGCTTGTGTAACACAGCTTTGCCACCGTGGGAATTTGGGTGCCTGTTTGTACAGGGACAGTTTCTGTGATAAATTAAGCTGGGAAAGATCTGGGAGATGGGAACCACCTGCAGGCTTAGATCTGCTGTGCTCTGCCTTGGGTGGCTTCTGTGGGACATCTCACAGCAGCCTACCAAAAAAGAAAACATTTCTTGAAGTATCTTAGAATCCCAGACTGGTTTGGGTTGAAAAGGACCTTAAAACCCATCCAGTTCCACCCCCTGTCATGGGCAGGGACACCTTCCACTAGCCCAGGTTGCTCCAAGCCCCATCCAAACTGGCCTTGGACAATTCCAGGGATGGGGCAGCCACAGCTTCTCTGGGCAACCTGTGCCAGTGTTTTACAACTAAAACTGTAAAAAAAAAATATTCCTTTACCAATTTAATTGTAAAAAATTTCTTCCTTTTATCTATTTTAATTCTATATCTCATGTTTTTAAAACTGTTTGACCTACTCTTCCGATTTTTGCTAGGTTTCTTCTGACTGGCTTTTTTCCCCTTTCACGTGTCATCAGCATTATTGCTTTGAACGTGGTGTGACAGCAAGACAGATAAAATGAGTGTAAACCCTTGATCCTTGCAACAGCTTTCAGGCTTATCTACCTTTGGGTGTTGTTTTACATGTTTTGTTCTTTTTCTTTCAGGAGTCTTAAAACCTTTTTCTATAAAATGATGCTAATTTGGTAGCCGGTGGAAAATATTTTAAATCAAACAATAAGTTTAACATAATGAAATTAAAGGAAATCCTGGAAGATGAATTAGGTTTGTAAATCCCTTAATAAAGTGGTAAGTGTTGCTTTTCTGTTCCTCACTGAAAACTTCTGCAAATGAAAGTCAATTTTACATAAAGTTCCCATTTTTTATTTTTCCCTCATTCCAAAGGGAACGAGGTAATTATACAGGTGATTAAAATAAGTTGTTATTGTCAAGAATGCTGCAGAATTTCTGTGCTTTTTGAGGGTCTTATATTATACCAGTTAAATCCCCAAACTGTTCTACAGTTGTTCTTGGTCTCACTTAAAGTATTATAGTTATAGATGAACATAAGAATGAGCTGCGGGTCCTACACCCGACACTGATATGAGCAAGAAGATTTTAGGTTTACATTAGATATTGGGAAGAAATCCTTCCTTGTGAGGGTGGTGAGGCCCTGGCACAGGTTGCCCAGAGAAGCTGTGGCTGCTCCATCCCTGGAAGTGTCCAAGGCCAGGTTGGATGGGGCTTGGATCAACCTGGGCTAGTGGAAGGTGTCCCTGCCCATGGCAGGGGGTGGGACTGGATGGGCTTTAAGGTCCTTTCCAATCAAAACCATTCTGTGACTCTCAGATCCATTTCCAGGTGTAACACCACTCACCTTGGAAGGTCTGTTTTGACACCTGAAGTCCTGCTTCAACAAACTGTTCACAGGTGCCCCTGAAGAGTCCGTAGTCGAGGCTGATGGTGATGCTGGTGTTGGTGCGAGAGAAGAGAACGTCGCTGCTCACCCACTGCTGTGTCGCCAGCACCACACAAATCAGCACGAAGGAGGAAACACAGGTACAAAAAGCAGATGCAAACATGGTTGTTTTCTTCCTGGAAGGCATCTTGGCAGAGATTTTCCCACCAGTTCAGGATATTTTGTTCCCTTTAGTCCAGCTACCATGGGGTTGTTTCCTCCTCCTTGGTGTCCGGGCTCTGTGCTCACAGAGAGTTACCCTGGTAAACTTTAAGTGAACAGCAGTGGTAATAAAAGTGTAAAATAATTGAACTTTGGTCTGGGGAAAAGGTGTTGCCATAGTTACAACACCACCAGCCTGGCAAAGGCTGGTAGGGATCACTGTCAGATTATTTATGATCCTTGACAAACCAGCACTTCCCAGATCATGGCTCTGGGCTCATCCAGAGCCTCGGCGTGTTCCCAGATCACCTCATGCCTTCTGGGAGAGTTCTGAGGTTTTTCTCTTTAAAATCTTGATAAACAGGTTGGAAAGATGTTTTTCTAAATCTGTATCTAATGTGTTTTGGTAAAAAGTCATAAAATGTTCATTCTCTGTTTAAATTCCCATTTTGCTGCGATCAGACCAACTCTCCCTTTTGTGAGACCTCCTAAATTCTTTAAATTTGTGAAAACACTGGGTTAGTCTTGGGTTTTGGTGGGGTAATGACATTCTATCTCCTGTCAATAGATTATTTTCTAAGAAAGAGCCTTTTTCCTCATTAAATTGCACATATTTTGTCACAATAACTCCTTTCCCCCCTTTTTTTTAACCTTCTTTTTGTCAAGGAGGAAACCAACACCTTGAACAGGGATTCATTTCAATGAAGTAGTAGATATGTAAAGGGAGCAATCCTGAAGAAAATCTGTTCTGCACTATAAAGCAATTTCTTCAGCCTAAGTTGAATTAAACAAAAACAAAAGACTAAGAAAATGACATCGAACAGAACCTACGTTGCTTAATTAAAAGACTGAAGCCAAATTTCTAGAATTTGAGGTGAACTCAGCACCAGGGTCCCCATTTTTTTGAGAGGAAACCTGAAATATAAATTAATAATCTATTGTCAGGCTAACAGAGAATCCATTAGATTTTATTTCTATTAGTTATAATGTCCTTATTCCACATCATACTAAACCTGAGCTCCTGGATGATCCAGAGTTTTTTAATTAACCTTTGGGGGGAAACTAAATAAACCTGTGGAATTCTTGTCCTGAAGCTTCACTGGTTTGCACTTTAATGACAGAGAGAGATTTCTGAATTTTTTATGAATTTGAAATGGCAAAGACTTTCTTGGGAGGAGAAAATCCCTGTTGTGAAATGCAGTGTTATTGTACTGTGATTCTTCTGGTTTTATGATTTCTTGACCCAAAACTTTAAAGCACTAATTAGATTTGAAATAAAAGTATTTTATTTCTGCTCTTTATATAATATGGTCTTGTGATTACTTTTTTCAAATTGTATGGGATTTAATAATACTTTTGAGGCAATTGCTTTAAAGAATATGTAAATATAAATTTTAAAGAATATATAAATTTTATTCTAAATAATCTATATTCCTAAATAATCTATAATTTATATTCCTAAAAATCTATATAAACCATATATTTAGGAATTTTATTCCTACACAATCTATATCTATGCAGCAGAAATCAGTCAGGATTTGGTTTAAGCTCTGAGGAGTAAAGGGAGGTTTCTCAACCTGTCTAAAGAAATAAGAAACAAGAGGCCTGCCCCCATTTCTGACCAGTATTCCAGTTAAACGTTAACCATCACAATATGGGAAAACTTCGTTAGGCTGATCCAACTCTAGGGGTTCATTAATCCGACACTTCTATTGGTCCTTTATTTGCATACAAAGAGCATAGTCCAAGAACTTACAGTCCAAGGATACTTTTTAATAAACTGAGGTAAAACCTGTCCCCTATGAAATATATTTCAAAAATATATATATATTTAAGAACTGATATTTATCTTGGTAATAACTTCAAGGGAACTACTTTTCAGCTCCTGCTTGGTGGTTTTCTTTTTCAATTTCAACAAACTGAGTACCCACACCTTTAAAAATACCCAATAACAGAGACTAAGAGCAGTGACGAGGCTGTAGATCCTTTCTGAGCAATCTGACTAAATTATATTTAGTTTTTGGTGACTCAGCTCAAATTGTTATGCCTCAAATCACTGAAACTCTCCTGTGGCTCAGAGAATTGCTCTGTAAATGAGACCATAATTTGCCTTTTTCTTGCCTGTCACCTTGAAGTTATCTGTTCTCTGCTGAAGCTACAATTCCTTGTGTCTTCTTTTTTTCCCCTCATGGTTACCTGAAAAAACATCACATAACTTGGAATGAAAATTGATGTTTGACACCGCAACCTCATCACTCGAGAGAAGGGAGAGACTGGGTTCCTCTGACTCAGAGAAAATATTTCCTGATCACACCTTACAGACTCTGCCCCCACTGAACTGACTCAGCCCTGCACAGGAGTAAGACAGAAAAATCAGATTAATTGGTTATGAATCAGATGGGCAGCACAGGGAGCTGGAATCCTTTGCTATATAAAATTATTCATTGCCCTGTATTTTGAAAGGTAAAATAGGTATTTCCCTTCTGTTTATGTACAAGTCAGTTTGCTTTAAGCAATATAAATATAAGATGAAAGCCTTTAAATGCAAACCTTTCACATCCATCTATTTTTTAATGTGACAGATACATTCTTACATTTAAAAAAAATAAATTACATGGAGGTTTGTGGCTTTGCCCACAGCTCCTGAGGGATCAGAGGGGGAGAAATCCTTCCCTGTGAGGGTGGGGAAGCCCTGGCACAGGTTGCTCAGAGAAGCTGTGGCTGCCCCATCCCTGGAAGTGTCCAAGGCCAGGTTGGAACTGGTCTAGTGGAAGGTGTCCCTTTCTATGGCAGGGGGTGGAACTGGATGATCTGTAAGGTGCCTTCCAACCCAAACCATTCCTGGATTCCAGGATGCTGTCTCCCAAGGGATGCTGACTCTGACAGGCAGGATGTGAGTGCTGGCTCACAGGTAATTGCTCTCAGCAGCAGCCAGGGAAATTCAAGGTGAAGCCACTGCAAATTATCTTCTGTTCTGCTGCAACCACAACATTTGTGACGGTTGCTGGTGGTTTAAATTTTCCATGTTCAGTTTAAATACTTAATTTAAAAACAATTGGCAGGTGGCAGGATGACTTGGCAGTGTGGCTGGGAGGAGGTTTTGCTGATATTTGTTATTTTCCTTGGGCGTGACCCTTGTGGCACAACTTCGTGTACCCACAAAGACTTTACACCCTTTTTATTTTCCATTTTCCATGTCTACTTGCAGAGGAGCTCAGCTGCTTCATCCTTCAGCTGCTCTTGGTCCCCAGAAGAGTTGATGAAGCTCCATGCAAGGCAGAGGATGTGCAGGATCAGACCATGGATTGCATTTATGTATTCCAGGATCAGGTAATGGATTGCATGCTTGTAGTCCAGGATCAGCCCATGGATTGCATGTATGTATTCCAGGATCAGGCCGTGCATTACCAACGTTGCTTTTACCTTTTCTATGGTGGATAAATTATAATTAAACCAAACTATTGAATACTAAGAATGAGATTGATCTTTTCTCTGGTAGTTTGCAGCCAGAATTCTGGGAGCTGCTGGAAACAGGGATTTGTTTATGCTTTTTGGGCTGGGTGAGGGCAATGGGATAAAGCACCATGAATTTTATTGCAGCTGGAGTTGAAAAATTGGAAGCTCAACTGACCTGTAAAATTATTGCAACGACTGTTTGGAAAACTGAGAGGGATGTGATCGTGATTTTTGTGGATCCCTGCCTAGAGCTGCTCTGAGGTGGGTTTGTAAAACTCCATCTTTTGATTTCGTTCTTCTCTTGCTCTGACCTTTTTTTTCCAGCACTTTTGAAAGACAAAGCAAACAGGCTGGAAGTGTTGTTTGGATTTCTTCCCAGAAAATGACTCGAATGTCTCAGCTGAGAACTCCATCACGAGATCTTATTGATCTCTGAGCTCTGATGCTGCAGCATTGGTTGGTGTGGGAGGGACAGCTGGAATATTGTGCTGCCACCTTGGAGCAGGGTCCTTTCACACCTGCAGTCAGCAGGAACAGGCACTGCTGGTTTCTTTATTGACAGAAAAAAGGTGGAAGATCCCAAAGACACCACACTGGGATCAAGGCAAACACAAAAAGCAGAATCCTGTTTGAAAATGGTGCTGCAAGAGCATCTCTCAGTTCACAGCCTGGCAGAGCCTGTTGGGGCTGCTCTGGGTTCCTTGGACAAGGGTCTGGAGAGATGGGACAAGGGGGAATGGCTTCCCACTGCCAGAGGGCAGGGCTAGATGGGATATTGGGAAGAAATTCTTGGCTGTGAGGGTGGGGAGGCCCTGGCACAGGTTTCCCAGAGAAGCTGTGGATGCCCCATCCCTGGAAGTGTCCAAGGCCAGGTTGGAGCTGAGCTCCACTAAAGCCTCTAAAATGTCCCAAGTATCATTTTTTATTTATTCCAAAAGATGATTGCACAACTATAAAATGATGTGTTTAGGTGTTAAAATGCTGCTTTCCTTTATGACTAAGTACAAGTTGAGTAGTCAAGTACGGTTTATTGAACAGTGGGGGAAAAAATCCTCCTGGCATTGTAAGATTCAGAAATTATGGCCTTTGCAATATTCTTACTTTAATAAAATGTGGCTTTGAAGCTGCTTCAAGATTTGTAGTATTTAAAACAAAGCCTTGAGGTGGAGATGGAGAGAAGAGCAGGCAGGGCAGGCTTTCCTTTATTGCAATTTCTGTAACAATTATAAAGATATGTAGTTTTGAATAGTTAAATCTATTCCTCTGTACTCATAATTTTAGATTCCAAATGTAAAAACCTTAGACAAATAGCCCTTTGAAGTCACTAAATTAGCTACTGCTGGGATGTTACACAGCCTCGTGCTTTTGCCCAATTATCCACACTTTAAAGAGTTTTTCTTGTATTTTTAGACCAAGATATATTTGCAATTACAGAAATCACATCTGTGTCTGTTATTCGCTGTCCTGCCTCTGATTTTCTGACTTTTTCAGCACATTTCCAATTTGTGTTCCAGTATATCAATAAAAAGACAGACTTACCATGTTGCTACCATGTTGGAATACCCAAGTTAAAATTTTGCTGTTCAAATATTGCCTCTTTCCTATCATTTATTTCCTGAGTTCAAAGCAGAGGAGGCACCTCTTTGTAAC